CGCAGGGTTTTTAACAACCAGCCAATTTTCATGTTTCAACATTGGAGTTCTGCAGCTGCTGGAGAATCTCTGGAGGAAACAGACGTATCAGGAGTGAGATGAGATGTTTGAGCAGCGCTGGATCAAAAAAAAAAAAAAAACAACTTCTGGCACTGATACCTCAGATTAACACTGGATCAAAACGGCTCAGATTTGGTTTCTGTTCAAAAACGCTACAACAAGGGACAAAAAAAACTACACAAACGTCCTGGTCTTTTATATTAACATAAAAAAGAAAATTTAAATGACAAAAAATGTTTTTAAAACAGTCTGAGGAGGAGGAGAAATGCTCACTGAGAAATGAGCTGTAATTTGACAAATGTTCATGTTTGTTGAAGTGGGTCACAGGTCACAGGTCACAGGTCACAGGTCAGGACTGTCCTGTGGTTTCACATGTTGAAACAGATAATGAGACAAAAGGTTCGAATCCAACTCTTCCTGGAGTCAAGAGGAGGAGTTTCAGGATGTTACATCATCTGTGTGTGTTAATGGGGGGGGGGCATGAAATGTCAAGGTGATTCGTTTTAATCAAATGTTTTTGATAAGCGTGTGTGTGTGTGTGTGTGTGTGTACCTTATATCCAAGGATGTTTCCATTCCTCTGAGCCACAGAGAGAGGAGACCATGTGAGGAGGATCTGAGAAGAACTCACTGCCTCAGCAGTTACATTCACTGGAGAACCAGATGGAACTGGAGTACACACACACACACACACACACACACACAGAAACACAGAGATAATGCTTAACCACTCTTCAGTTCCACCTACACCCCCCCCCCCCCCCCCCCCTCCATCTCTTCTCGATCTTTAAAAAAATTCCTGGGAGCCTCCCACACTCTTCCGTGGTCTTTGCAGCCACAGCGTGGCTCCAGGGTCCAGGTCCTATAGAGTTGTAGGCCTGTATCTGTAGCTGGTATTCAGACCAGGGGACCAGACCCTCTATTGTGACCTCACTGGTCTCTTCACCTCCCTCCACCTCCACCGTCCTGTTCTCTTCCCCCCCGTCTGGTCGCCACACCCACAGGCGGTAGCCCACGGTCTCTGGGCTGCTGTTGAATTCAGACTCCTGAAGAGGCTGAAAGATAAAAGAAAGAAAAAAGAAGAAGGAGAAGAAGAAGAAGAAGAAGAAGAAGAAGAAGAAGAGAGATTAGACGAGGAAGTGATGAGTCTGCTGGGCTCCAGCTCATTAGAAATGCCACTGCAGAGGCTCCTAAAAGAAATGATTTCCCAGCGCTCCACTTAAGTTAAGGTATAACTTCCTTTTTAAAATGAGTGAAGTTTGACCCCCCCTCCTCCCCCCCCCCGGCTCATCTTCTGTCCCACTAAGTAGATCAAAAAGTTCTAAGACAGATGTCAGTGCCTTGTTGTTTAAACTCATCTGTCTGTCATTCCAACAGTTTTTCTCCACAAACAGAAACAGAGAAAACGACTGAAGCTCTGCACCAGGTTTGGATCCATCGGATTTTTTTTCCTTTCCCAAAAAACTGAAGGAATTTAATAATTTTTTTTCAGGCCTGAGACCAAACAAAGAATGGGTTTGAGAGCTGCTGTGAAAGGAATTCTTTACTCAACGCTGCAGAAACAGCCTTGTTACTGATGTAAATATCATTTATTTCTCCTCTGGTTGTGGGACCCCCTGGACACAGTCCACTGAAGGAGGGGTCACCACTGTCTTCACTACGGCCCAGCCTCCTCATGTCTCAGAATCTTACTTTGTTCACACTTCCAGCTCTCTCCCACAGACGAGGAGTTAAGGAGGACGTAAAGTCCATTTAAAAGCCCCAGTGATTTAGTTCAGCTTAGCATCGAGACGCTGTAACGCAGGATGTCACGTTAGCTTTATTAGCCTTAATATGCAGCGCAGAATAATTGCCTGAGCTGAAACCATTGAGCTTCTCCTCCTATAGCAAAAGGAAAAAAAAAAAAAAAAAAAAAGAAAACAAAACCCCAGAGTGTGAGCAGCACGCCGGGCACTAACGCAGGTGAAATCCCATTAGCATGCTGCTAAGGTAGCCAGCAGCGCCTCAGTGTCTGTGTCTGGTTTGACAGGCTCTTTTTCTCATTCCAGCTCTTAAATGGAAAATAGTCTGCCCTCCATTTATGTT